ACTAACTCATTTTTACCTAATGACGTACAGCTCCCTCCTTCCCTACACATCACCCAGTAAAAAGAAAGCCCAGAGCTGCAGAAATTGTCCTTATTTCTTACAGCAACCCCCAAAAATAATAAGGAAAAAACGGACTCAGAAAAGAGAAAGGAGAAGCAGAAAGAAAGAAGAATCAAAGGCAGAAACAGATGCAGTTGCAGGAACATATTTTTTTCTTCCCAAGTATGAAGACAAACAACAATAAAGGACTTGCTACACTAAGTAACAGTCCAAACGTCTGATCTCGTTTTGTATGCTGTACGCAGCATGGAATTTGGCCTGCAGTACAAGCCAGACTTACTGCTCCTGATTTAGATAACACATCGCCACAGTTTTGCTAATCGGCAACGCAGAAGGAGCATGAAAGGATGACATGAGAATCCAAAGACTGACCAAAACCAAGAGCCCTGGACATAGAAGAGACCGTCAAAGTAAGGCACCTCAAAGGGTATCATACCTGTCTCGCTCAGCACTGAGAGAACAAGAGAGACCATTACCTCTTCTTTGGATTTTTTAGACCTGTCGTCATCTTTCCTGGTCTTTTTTAATGCGTCTGTGCCAACCACCGAAAGGATATTTCTTAATCTGGAAAGAAACACATTAAGTCATATTCCCTCAGTGAATTCTCAGCTAACCTGACAAATAATCACTGTCTGCCATTCTTTCTTCCTCAGCACTCTTGCTGCATTGTAATGAAGCATTGCCGACTGCCGGCACTCATCGCACCCCAACTACAAGGAAAACGTCAGGAATTTGATAAACTGAGAGTTCCCTGTTTGCAACGCTCGGGGCAGACACAGCACCTCTCCCTCCTTTCTGCAGGACCTTCTCCAAAGAGCGTGATGGGCTCCCCAAGCGCTCGCAAACAGGCTTTCACTTCAGAGTCGTCGGTGGACACGTTGATCTGCCGGGCTCTCTTCCTGCGCTCAAACTCAGCCAGCACTTCCGCCTGCCGCTCGCTCATGTGGTCTTCGAGATCAAAGACCTCACCTGAACAAAAAATGAAACATCAGCTTGAGAACAACGGTTGGACGAGAGATCCCTCTCAAACAGGAAGACCCAAACAAAGAGCCAACAGCCCAGGCAACTGTCTTGTGGTTTTGATTTCAAATTATGCTCCAAAGCTGATCAGAGACGTTTGAAAGTGTCACATTCCAGAGCGAGAGGGGGGGAAAAAAAGAAAAGATGGTTAAATATTCTCACCGCTGCTGATGTTGATGTTGCCAGCCTCGATGGCAGCTTTCATCCCTTCTTTTCCCAGCAACCCCGATTCTCCTTTTGCCAGACGCTCCCTTTCCTTCTCTTCCAAGCTGCCATAAAAGATGGGGGCTCTCTTGGGTGGGGGAGCATCGCCCTCTTCTGCGGGCTTGCTCTTTGTGGCCTGGAAGGTGAAGGCAGAATTTTAAGTGTGTTTTGGCTAAGAAGGAGACAACAAACAGCTTCTTTGGGCAAGAAAGCTCTGCTACAGAATGTTAGTACGTACGTCACGAAGAGGCCCTGAAATTGTACGCGAGGTGTTGATTTTCGACATTAAGGCTATGCCCCACGTGCAAAGATCAAAAGTAAAATGCCACGTTCAATATTTTTCTTAAGTGAGGCTGTGCTGTTTTCTGTTTCTTTATTATCTGCCTGGACCCCGGGTTTAAGGCTCTGAGGTTTTTCAATTTCAAAAAAGACCCCGCGGTTTAGAAGACGAAGCTTTTCCTAATCCTGCCGAACGAGCCCCAGAACAGGCGCCAGCGACGCCGGCCGCCGGCGCCCGCACCGGAG